CCCCGCGGCAGCGGCTGCTCCGCCGCGCCCTGATCCGGCCCTCAGTCCCCTCCCACCACCCCTTTCCCTGGGCCCCTGAGGTCCCGAAAGGGACCGCGGGGACCACCTGAAATGGAAGCCAGGGCCACCCACTCGGCCATCCCGGCTGCTGTCAGCCCCCAGCTGATCCTCACAAAGCGGAGAGGAGATTTAACACCCCCATCCCTGCTCCATTCCCACGTACCTCAGAGAGCAGCTCTCGGGAAGGGCCGGAGGCAGTGCCCGGCTCCGCTACGCCGCCCGACCTTGGAATAGCCCCGGGTGCGGGGCACGGTCGCGGAGCCCGGCGGGCTGCACTAGCCGGGCAGAGGCATGAGCTTTGTTTCGCACAGGTTATTGGGATTAGAGCCTCGGCCTCTTTGTGCTGTGCTCTGCTTTGTACCACACTGGTTTTCGGCCTGGGATGAGGCACAGAAACAGCAAGTATGGCTATGTATCTCCTCCCATCCTTTGGTGGGTGTTTACATCAGTATGCAATATAGACACCCTTCAAATGTCTCAGAACTCATACTATTTTAAAAAGGAACCATGATGGGTTTCTCTGGTTTCAATCACTGCTTGTGTTTTAAACACGGGGCTGTTTTGAATCCTCCGATAGCATCAAAAATATGCCCATTACTCACAACCTGAGTCACCAGAATAGCACGATTATTTGTCACAAATAACATCTCTGTACAATTACTTGCCTATCTAACAACACTCAGCATTTCACAACTTTTTTCCTTAACTCGGTGGGCACATGGGATAATTTTTTCCTGCTGTGGCTTTCTTCTCTCCATGAAGAATAACCCTCAAAAGAAAAGACCCTATAAGCAATATTGCACTACTACCCTGATCACAAAAGCAGAGGCAATATTGATAGGGTCTCATCCTTAAGGTTAGGTAGCTGGATAATGTGTCTTGCAGCAGGTGACTGGAGGGAGCTTCATTCCATGCCTGCAAATGGGGAAGGGGTAAAAAGTTAGAAAGCAGTGCACTGCCCCTATGGATCTCAGCGCCATGTGCTCCTGGGAGAGCGGGATGCAGGAATGGAGTAAATCTCTGACCCACAGAATGCGTGCACGGACACTACCCCTTTCTCCCAGGACACATTTAACTCCAGTATGGATTTTATCCAGGTGTCTGTACCTTCAACCCCAGTTCTTTCTTTTGTGTAAATTTCTCTCCTTTATTAATAACCTCAGTCAATTAGCTGCCTAGTTGTCAGAGGCTGGGAAGTGCTATTTATTTGATTAACTGATAGTTGTATTTTGAGCCTCTTAGTAACAGGCATCAAGCCCTCAGAGAACTTCCTTTCTAGGGCTGTCCTACTTGGAGAGCCCAGTGTTTTAAATATCCCTCCCTTCACTGGAAATCACGGGATTAAGTACACACCAAAAATTAGAAAGCAAAACAGGATCTTCAGGGCTGGCTCTCCAGCACTGACTTCACATTTATGCACACAGGTTAAACAGTGTTTGGAGACGCACGCGTGTTTTGCCCTAGCTTGTTTTGTTTGGCTTTTTCTTCTCTTCTCCCTCCCCAGCACCTTTTCTGTCCAAGGCTGGAAGGCACAGTCTTCAGCTGGGGCTGGCTTAGTGTTGAACACACTAACAGCCACAGAAATTACTCCCAGGGAAGGGCTGAGACACCTCCAGCTCCAGGGGTGCTTTGCCATCTAGACTCTTCCTCTGCACTCTGGCTCCCAATTAACCTGCCCCAGTGCATTTGTCACGTAGGAACACTTGAGAGTCCAGAGGAAGGGGAAGGAAATTTCATTCCCAGGCCATCCCAAAACAGATCACGATTTTGACACATTAAGCTTCTCTTTCCTCAGTCTGCTTTCCAGTGGATTAAATAGGAGTGTAATGAAGGGACAGTCCCCTAATTCATGGATTCCAGGCTAATTTATCCATGCCACATTGATCTGGTCTTTGCCATTAGAGGTCCCTGGCTTTTGGCATGCTGGTGTGAGGCAGCCCTGCATCCTCTTTGATGCTGCCTCACTTGCCAAAGAAAAAGGAACTAGGCAAGCTTAATTCAGTGTTCGGTTTTTTTCTAATGCCCAGTAATCAAAATCTGTCTCAACCCCTCCTTCTTCCCATCCTTTGTGGGGCTTGTGGAAGAAAACAGGGATCTTTATTCCGTGTTATTTATTTATATTAAATCTTCGCTCACACTAATTGAAAGGCCACATTCACAGAGATTGCTGAAAGCAGCTCAGAACTAAGTTTTATCAAACTTCTGTATTCTTGTTACCTTGGCAAAACCTCAGGTTTAATCCTGCCATTGCTTCTCAACAATCCCTGCAACTTAGACATCCAGCTGGACTGAGAACATAGAAAAAGATGCAACTAGGCTCAGCCTTACCTTTCCATCTATTCCCGTCCAGTCTATTTTGTTTATTGTTTACCATGTCTTTTCCACTCTTCAGCCTCGATGTTATCTCAAACAAGACTTAGACATAATACACACAATTTAACTTCTCCAGTGGCCCAAGAGACAAACCTACTAGCAAGTTCACAGTGGAAACACATAATCTGCACATGAAGTGATGTTACTGATGCATGGATAGTGTGGGGCAAAGCACGATTTGATGACTTCTTCCCAACTTAAATACTTCAGTAGTTGCAAAAGTTACAACTGGCAGGGGAGGGCAAGGGATGTAATTAGAAACGTCAGCCACAAGTTCCAAGCAGAGGCAATTAAGTTACTTTATGTTTCTGGATCTCTGCTGAGAGCCTAGATGTGTCTCAAAAATATCCTTATCTCTAAGTGGTATATTGGCACAGGCCTCCCCACACTTCGCCATTTTTTTTTTTAACAAAACTGGAAAAATAAAGACTGAATCAGCCTTCAATAGTATTCCAATAGTATTCCACCTAGTTCACAAATGATATGCAAAGCCTGGGTTGCACTATGTCCTATAGCAGGGAGACTCTCTGGAATGTATATGGGGGTTATTTTAAAATAAACGTTTAAACACGAGATTATGAAATGCATGCTATTTATACACTGTGAGGCTCAGCATCTCTAGATATGTTTAGAAACCTCTCTTGCCTTTAATCACAGTTATAGAAACTAAATGGAAATGTCACCCAGACTAGTATGGAAATAACACTTTATATGTTGCTCAATAATGGAAGCTCTTTTTTTGGCAGCGTGTGGGGAGCCCTTGCTATGCGTTTAAGCCCCCTTTTTCTGATGTTAGGAGACAAACAGACTGAAGTGTCCTTACAATGAAGCCTTGGGATAAATAAAGTAGTGAGCTGAGTCTCTGGAGCTGAGAAGCCTCTGCTCTTCATAAGATCAGACCTTGCCTTCCCTGGTTTAGCTTAGGGAGCCATTTCTCCTTTCCTTTGTTGCTGTTTTGTTTGTTTATTTCTCTTGTGGTTAAAGATGCCACTCAGGGTAAGCGGTTTTTTTAAATTTTCATCTCAGTTACAATCTCACAAAACATAGAAGGGCACAGTCCAGCCTTGTTTCCCTGGTCACAGCCAGTTCTCTAGCCTGAGGAAAGGAGACCATTTAAAAGACATCTTGCAATTAAATACATTATATAGTTTACAATATATTTTCTGCAACGGAATTGACACTATCACCAAAGGTCAAAGCAAACACTTTAAACAGCTGTAGGCTGAAAGTTGATTTAGAGTTTTCCATCCTATTTAATAATTTTATCATTTTTTTAAAACTGGGAAGTGTTGCCTTTTTAATTTTTTATTTTTTTTTTTTTTTTTTTTTTTTTTTTTTTTTTTGAGAGAGAGAGAGAGAGAAAATTCTTAGCATTCCAGTCCTGGCTCCTTAAGTCTATCTAGCAAGTTTGTACAAATCTGTCCAGAGAAAAAGGGGATTCTTGCCTCCATGCAAGAGTCAACTTGTCCAGGTGTGAGACTCCAGAGTGTAAGGGTTGATAATCCTCTCTGAAAACATCACCTTCCCAAGAGTGTTTCACCCACCAAGCTCAGGGATTCTGTCACGCACAGCCACTTACCAATGCGCTCCCCTTCTCCTGAAATCAGGAGGGATTACACTCCAGAATGTCCTGCCATTTGATTCTTGTTCATAATATTTAGTTTGTGGGTTTCAATAACCCTTTTCTCAGCAGCAATATTTCCTCGGCTGGCAGAACCCAGATCTGCGTCAGTGAGCTCCATTAAAAGGAATGACAGAGCTCCTTAAACAGCCCAGACTTTGTAACCCCACAATACGGCTTTTCTGCATGGTGTTTACCAGCGCTCTGCTGTCTGACGGAAAAAAAAAAAAAAAAAAAAAAAAAAAAAAAAAGAAAAAAAAAGACGACTTATGGTACTAAATGCAGAAGCAAAATAGGACTAAATACTATCACCCTGGAAGTGCCGATCCCACTGTTGGCCCTGCCTGTACAGGGCAAGTGAAAGGCCGTGTAGTTGCCTTGGCTGGGGAAGAGAACATGTGGGGCTGATCCTGAGGTCCCCCAAATAACTTTTTTCCCCCACGGTAAGGGCCAGACTCCCCTCATCCCACACCCAGCTGCCCCCAACCCGCCCATGCCTGTAGGGCAGGGGTGTGGTCTCTGCAGGGGCCCCGAGCCCGAGGCTCCAGAGCCGGGGCCGGTGGCACGGCACGAGGGGAAGCGGCACCTCCTGCCCCCGCCCGGCCGCCTCCCTTCCCCAAACCACCCAAGAGCGGCCAGAGCAGGAGCGACCTTAACACAGATCTAGCACTCAATGCAATGACTCAAAAAGTCCCCCTGAAAAAAAAAAAAAAAAAAAAAAAAAAAAAAAAAAAAAAAAAAAAAAAAAAAAAAAAGAAAGAAAAAAAGAAAAAAAGAAAAAAAATAAAAAAATCCCTCTGAAAACTTAAACCATCTGATTTCACTTTCCGCTCCAATTGGTTGTGTAGCCAGGGCGCAGGTCTGGCCTCCTCCACCACACTAATACCCTATGTGTGCTGCCTCCACAGAGGAGGGGTTCTTTTAACAAGTTTATGCAACAACAGGATGGAGGCTCTGCCGGAGCCCTTCCCCCCGCAGCCCGACCTGATTCCCCGCATTCCTCCCGCGCCCTCCCCCTCCGACCCAACTGGAGACAAACTCTGGCATCTCCACACACATGCAAATGGTTTCCCTTGCACAAATACAGACTCCTGAAGGGGCCTTTGCTTCCGAATCCCCCCTCTCTTTTTTTTCTTTCCTCCAGTGCTTTTTTTTTTTTTTTTCGCAGGGTTAAAAAAAAAAAAAAAAAATGTGGGGAAGGGAGGGTTTGGAATGTGTAACCTCCATCCCAGGCCCAAATCTGCAGGGAACCCCGTCCTCTCCCCTCACACCCCTGGGGCCTGCCTTCCACAGAGCTGGCGCTCAGCTAAGGGCGTTTGTGGGCTCCATTGCCTCAGCCAGAGCCAGGAGCCCTCAGAAGGTTGTCCCTCTCCGAATGGGATATGGTCCTTGTCATCACAAAGGCCTTTCCCTGTATCACACGCCTCAAATTCCCCCCACACCCAGGGGAGGTTTTAAAGCGTAGTGACCATATTATTTTTAAAGACATAACTTCATACAGGAAAATAACTATGCATCTATTCCCCCTGTGATTTCTCCACCTCCAAACAAGGCAGGCTCACATGTCTGTGAGAGGCCATCTTACAGCCCAGCATCAGCCCCAGCAAGGCTTTCACTAGCACTTATTTCCACTCGCTGATGGGCTCACACGAGCGCACACACACACAAGGGCCAGAACAAAGCATTGCCCTGCTCCAGGGTGGCTTCCAGCTCCTCGCTGGTCCACCCTCCTTCCCATCCTCCCTGGCCAGAGGCAGCAAAGGGCCCTTCATGCTCCCACTCTGGTCACTCTTGCACTCGTATTGATGGCGAGGGGGGAAGACACTCCCTGGCAAAACCCTCAGAGATTTCACTCTTCCCTACCTCTTCATTAATCAAGAATTAGAAGGAAGACGAGGGGAAAGTGCCAAAGCTAAATAAGCCTCCCCATTCCTTAACACACACAAAAATGCCAACCATGCTACAATGCAGAGATGGATGAAAAGAAAAGCTCTAGAGAAAGGGAGCCATGCCGGCTCGAGTTACCTCCACTGAGGCCTGGGAATGGCATGGCATGGGCCACCAGCACCATGCCTCTGGTTCAGGCATGGAGGCTTAGCCTTCTCCTCTGGGCGTGAAAGTGACACAGCCTTCAGCTCACCCCAGAAACAGAAGGGCTGAAAAGGTGTCTTTTGTCTCCTCCCTCAGTCACTGGAGAACTGGAGCGCATTATTGAGGATTCGGCTTCTCCTCAACTCTCTAAAATGGGACACGCTCCCCCCCTCAGGATGTGGTCCTCCATTTTCTGCCTCCCCATGGCTCGCTCACCAGCACATCCTGGCTTGGGATGTGCTGTGCAATCTGAAAGCACTCGTTTACCTAGATTTGATTTCCAATATGACGGCTCTCCCCACCCCCACCCTTTGCTCCCAAGGTAACAGCTCAAGGCTTCAGGAAAAAAAAAGAGAGAGAGGAAGGTCCCATCCCCCAGCCCTCCAAACCCCTTTCTTAGCAGCTGCAAGCGAAAATACCACATCTGCCTCCAACTACACCGCGAGTGACAGTCACCAACATATTGTTATTTAAAGATCAATTCTGAATGCAGTGTTCCTGTTCTTAGGCCTACATCATCCTCACGTCTCTCAGCCTTGCTCCACGTTGCTATTGGGAAGCGCAGGGACAGATTGTCTTTCAAATCCTATTGATTATTATTTAGGTATCTTGTACTATTTTTTTTTTTAAATTAAAATGAAGGTATCAATATTCTTTTAATCTTAACAGTAATTTCTCTAAAAGTGAAATACAATGGAACTTGAAAAATACATCAATAGGAAGCAAAAATTAAATTGTCTGTAAATACATGGGTATATATTAAAGTCACTGAATTCTATACACAACAGTAACATTTTTAGGTTCATAAACCCCTAATTTTTAGAGAAGAAGGAAGAAAATATTCAAAGCTGGTCAGCATATTTTTAAAGGTGGTGATTGCTCTGAAGGAGGACAAGAGGGCTTTAAAATGTGAATAGGCCAGCTTTTTATTTTGCAACTTGGACACACAAACCCAAGCTAGTGGCAGAAAGGGCAATCCATTTTGTACACTGAAGCAGTCAAAACGGGGAACAAAACCCAAGGAATTTCCATACAGACCACTCAACCCCAACACAAAATAAACAAACAAACACAAGAGTAGGGATTTTTTTAAAGCAATTTCTACATGATCTTGGCATTTCAATGCTCGTTTGAGCCTTTGTGGTGGAGGGAAGAAATCAGAGTAGGGGGCTGGTTCCCTACTAAAATGCATTAAATAACTACAGAATGCCATAATGTCAGGGGCTGGGTGTGCAACAGTAACTGATCATAAAGGATGTATTAGGACTGGAACCAAATGCTTTGACAATATTATTGCACTGCTTTATTTGTGCAGACAGTAGTGCAACATTGTCAGAGCCAGCGATACCAGCAGCCACTGTCACGTTCTGCACAGCTGTCCCTGCATCCTTTTGTAAGGGACTGTTACATTACAGTGTTAACCACAATAACGTTTTTATGTTTAGCCCCAATAAAACTCTGCATGACAAAGTTTATTTGCAATCGTAATTAGACAAGGTAAAAACAAAACAAAACAAACAAACAACAACAAAAAAAAAAGAAAAACAACAAAAAAGTTAGTTTAAAAAATGACAGAAAGAGAGGAAAAAAAGGGAGAGGGATAGAAAAAGACCACTGTTATTATGGCTTGTTAAACAAACCATTCAAGTCTTTTGCTACACGCCCAGTATATCTAGGCACGGTACGTTATAAAGGTTTTATACAATAAAATATTTTTCTACCGTAATGGAGAATAAACCAAGAAGGGACATAATTCAGTATCCCCCAATGTATGTGCTTCCATAAAACCCAAATTGGTCAGTAGATGAATCTGAACTACACAATTTAAATAAATCACAGAAAGTGCCAACCCTTTCCTGTGCCTTCAGAAGTTTTCTTAATTGTGCTGTGATTTTGTCATGGTTGACCAGTACAGATGAAAAAGCCTGGGGGGGTGTGGTGTATATATAGAATGGTATAAATACACAGTGCTTTGATTTGCTGTGGAAAATGTTACAGAAATGATGAGACCTGTGCACAAAAATATCTAGTGCCTGTGCTTCAATCTCACACATCTGTGTGTGTGACCACTCAAAAATTACAGCATAAACACCACAGATTCTTAGAAACAAATCAACAGCATTAAATCCTTGTAAACATTGATAGGGACACCTTAAACATATAGGAGAAAGTTTCTCTAAGGGGGAAAACTATAAGGAAATCATTAAAAATTTCAGTGTAGATATTGTATGGAAGAGTGTAAAAATTAGTAACTAATCACTCACAAGCTATTGGTAAACAAAGCAGATCATGGGATGCCTTGAAAGCTCTCAGAAATGTTTGGAGCTTATGTCTGAAATAGCATGTTTAAATTATTCCAGCCCATTTCTATAGACAGACACATAAAAATGTATAACCCAGAATCTCTCTCCTTATTTAAAACCACTCCCACATGTATAAAACCTTATTTCACACACGTGCATAAATACACTGGAGGAGGCATCTATTTTAGGGTTGTTTGCCCACTCTGAAGAGGGTGGGCTGCTAAAGGGGGTCATGTTTCTGCCAGCCAATGCCCTTTTAATATTGCACTGCTCATCATAATTGCCAGTAGTACAACAGAAAAAGGGCTCTGGACAACAGTATACTTCAGAGACTTTCCAAAATAAATGATAAATCAGAAACTTCTCCAAGTGATGGCTTCTGTGCATGTTTTAGTCTAAAACAGATTTGTTAAATTCAAAAAAAAAGGAGTTTCTTCAACAACCACATTGAATTAATGTCATTCTTTAAAATTAGATTTTAATATTTCACAGCTGCTTCTTCAATTAATTTCAGCAAGAATTTAGATAAGCTTGCTTTAGGGACTTTTTTCCCCCTTATCAATAGTAAATGTACTGCATTAGAACATGTTAAAGCAAATACCAGAACTGGGATTGTCCTTGCTTGCATTTTAGCAGCCCAGTATTTTACAAAAGTAGGTGTAATGAACTAAAAGACACAATGGAGGATAAGTTAACATCCTTTCTCTTGCTTTCATTTGAATCAGCTTAAATATCAGTTAAAATAATTGGTATTTATTACATACATGCTTCTAGTTAAATTATTCACTTCTAATTGCTAAGGAAGTCTTGCTATTT